GGAGCTCCCCCAGCCAGCACCCCCCCCTCCTCCAGGGTGACCAGGGTGATTTCAAGTGGCTTCAGGTGGTGGGAGGGGCTGGGAAAAGCGGGGCTCTGGGGGGATCCGGGCTGCTCTCTGTGCACTAGCAGCCAGCACCGCGCTGTCTCTGCTCTGCCGGTGCGTTGGGGCATCGTGAGCATGTGTTTTGAACAGAAAAACTGAGATTTAAAGGGTCACGCATAAGGAAACCCTTTTTTTCTCCTACAGAGGGCTGTCCGCTTTATCTAATAGCCACTAAGCCAAGCAGTACCTGTCCTCAGTTAATTCTTTGTTACAGAAGCTTTCAGGCTGACAAAATAACCCAGGCGTTGGCGGCACCGGCTCCTGAACGCTGGGCTGTTGGAAGGAGCAGGCGAGGAGAAACACAAGGTATTTCTTGTACTTACCGCTTCGTTTTTCGCTAAGCTGCTTTCCGCCCCAGGTCAGGGGGCACTGAAGGGCGGCTGCTCCACCTGCTGTCAGGAGCTTGAGGCTTTATGCTGCTTTGGGGGCTGCTGGTGAGTTAAAAAAAGAAAAGAAAGAAAAAAAAAAATAATTAGGTTAGGGGGTTTCTGAATTTCTGAGTGGAAGCCAGGCGTGTTCCAGGGGAGGTGTGAATTCTGGAAAAGGAGGTTTTTCCTCCCCTCCTCTGTCCTGGGAGCTGTCTGCCTGCCTAGCACAGCGGGTGTGGGTGGTGCCTTCGCACCCAGCAGGTGCAGCCGCAAGCTCTCGTGATCTGCGATCCCAAGGTGTCGTTGCTAACATCGTTTTCTGAGAGGGTTCGTTTGAGAAGCTTGGCATAACAACACACCGTCGCCATGCGAGGTGAAATCCTTGTCGTTCTGTTGACGCTGAAACTGCAGCGCGTGCTTTACAAAGGCGGCGTGACTCGTTAGCTGTGTCAGCACAGCGCTGATGAGCGTTGGCAGTCCTGGAGTCGTCGTCTCTGGAGAGGGAGCCTGCTCGTCAGCCGCAGTGACAGGCTGCCTGCTGCGGGAGCCCTGACCACGTACACCGAGGTTTCAGGCTCTGGACTTGTTCAGACCTGGCTCGTCTGCTGGGTTCACCAGGGAGTGAGTCAATCAGTGTCGTCTGAGCAGGGTTTTCTTCTGATGAACATCGCTTCCCGTGGATACCCAGCTGAGAACCAGACCTGCCGCAGATGGCCCGACCGCCATGACCTCTTTGTTCACTCCTGCTTGAACTGCAAACTCGGAAAAAGGCTTTAAACTCCCTTACCAAGTACAGAGTCATTCAGTCTCCCACTTCCCTTTCAACAAAAGCACCGTTTATGCAGCCCACTGCGCAGAAATGGTGATAGTGATTAATACTGTCAGCCCTCAAGGGAGACTTTAGCCTCAGGAATCTTCTGTATTAAAATTAATTTGCCGCTCCAACAAGCAGGTATCCAATTACTTACCTTGTCCATCACGGGTGTGGGTGTCAGCGTGGCTGGAAGCGTTCTGTGTTAGTTCGTTACCCTGATACACGCTGCAGTGTCTCGTCAGTGCTCGGGGCTGTCTGGCAGCCCTTACCTGGGTGACCTGCAAGAGAACCTTCTCGAGGTGCCGCTGATTTGACTTTACAAGTCAATTCGGTGCAAGTGGCAAGCGAAATCCTCCGAGGTGCTGGCTGTGCAGTAGAGGGACCTGATCACGTTTTATGTATTTTTATAAACAGATTTAACATTGTTAATTTTGTAAAATGATTTTAGGAAAACCAGTTTCCCTGCCGCTGGATGTAACCCGAAGGGAAACGCTTTTACATTTCAGATTGAGTCAATTTTTGTGACCTAGGCAACTCAGATCTTGCATTTTTCTCTGGTGTGAAACAACCGCTGCTTCCTCTTTCGTTACACCCTATGGACAACAGAACCTTGCAGTGAATTTCTCCGTAGGGTTTCCCTTTAGAGACGTGCGTATCGATCAGCAATCGAAACTTCTGCTGACTCCTGGTACAGAGCAACCAACCAACTGTAGAGGCTGCGACCCACCCTAGCGAGATGGTGCCGGTGGCTCAGGAAACCGAGCAGGGATGAATCCAACCGTCTAGATTCAAGGGCAGTACGAAAAAAAGCCCCTGTGAACGTTGGAGATCTTTAAGTTCGTTTCTGGTTGATAAAAAGCCGCCAGCTCAAGCCCATATTCATTTCTCATGGTTAAAAACCAAAGACTTGATCCTTTGGTTGGACTCGGGTGGATCTTGCTGCAGGATCAAGTGTTTTGTGTCTGTCACTGTGTAGGTGTTTCAAGTGAAGTCTCTAAATCCTGAGGCTGTGCCAGTTCTGTGCGGCCAGTGCAATTCTTAGGAGGTTTTTAAGCTACTGGTTGCTGCAGTTCAATTTTCTCTTCTCTGCTGTTCCTCTGCCCCACTGCGTGTGAGGTGCTGCCGCTGTCATCTCCACCCGTTGCCTCTGGGGAGTTAAGGTGATGCCTGTACAGAGGCTGGCATGCGCTTTGGGATGCAAGGTGCTGTTCTGCACGGCATAGGCTTATCTAGGAAAATCTCTCGTTTTACTCCCATCCACAGGTACTGAGCCCAGGAGCACCTTTCCCCTGAGGTCTGTCCGTGCCGTCGCCTGCCGATGCACCCGCTCTAACAGCGGCCGGAGGGACCCCCACCAGCTGCCGTCCGCAGGGCCCTTGGCGGGGAGCGTTCCCCAGGAACCACGATGAAGATCGTGGTCGCCAAAGTGCTGTGTCTGCTGGGCATCTGCGTCCTCATGCTGGCTGGGTCCCTTCTCCCCGTCAAGATAATTGAGGCCGATTATGAGAAAGCTCATCGCTCCAGGAAGGTTCTTGCCCTCTGCAATTCTTTTGGAGGAGGAGTCTTCCTGGCCACCTGCTTCAATGCCTTGCTGCCTGCCGTGAGAGAAAAGGTAACTGCTTACGAGCGATTTTAATGAACCTGTGCCCACTGAGTATGTTAGGGACCCCTGGGCGGGGGGAACCAGCCTCCCCTCTCCTGCCCTGCGGGAGCCCAGGCCACCAGACCTCTGCCCCTGTGGAAATGGAGGTGAAGGGCCTCTGTCTTGTCAGAGCGGCCCACGAAGCCTGCTCGGAAACGGCTGTGCTGTGCCTCGTGCTTCAGAACACGAGGGCGAGCTGCGCCCACTTCCCGTTCGGCTGCTGCTGACTGTCCGGGTGGAGTAACTGGAGATTTTTTTGATGCAGAAGGAGGCTGAGCATCGCCTGGGGTGCGAGGCTCAAACTCCTGCCATTTAGCGTGTGTTTAAAACGCTTCCAGACAGCCGCTAACCTTCTGCTGGAAGGGAACTGGGTTCCCTGTCTCTTACGCTGAGGCCTGTATACAAGGGTATTAAAGCATCATGGATCACTTTAGTTCCATTTAGAGTTGTGTGAACGCAATAGGAATATTTCCCTTTAGAGGGACAAAGGTGGTTGATTCACGGTAGATTGTTTGCTTCCTTCCAGCTCGATGAAGTTCTCAGGCAGGGGAACATGACCACGGACTACCCGGTGGCTGAGACCATCATGATGGTTGGCTTCTTTGTGACGGTCTTTGTGGAGCAGCTCATCTTTACCTTCCAGAAGGAAAAGCCTTCCTTCATTGACTTAGAGACCTTCAACGCCGGTTCCGATGTCGGGAGCGACTCTGAATACGAGAGTCCCTTCATCGCATCTTCCCGAGGGCGCACGTTGTACAGTGAACTCGGTCACCACTCCCACAGCCACGGCCTGAATATCCAGGAGCTCTCCCGCTCCAGCCCCTTACGGCTCATCGGGCTGGCGTTTGCTTTGTGTACGCACTCCATCTTCGAGGGACTGGCCCTGGGCTTGCAGGAGGAGGGCGGCAAAGTCATGAGCTTGTTCCTAGGAGTTGCCATTCACGAGACGCTGGTAGCGGTGGCATTGGGCATCAGCATGGCCAAGACCTCGTTGCCCCTGAAGGATGCTGTGAAGATGGCTGCGACGGTGAGCCTGATGATTCCTCTGGGCATTAGCATTGGGATGGGGATTGAGAGCACCCAAAATGCGGCCAGCAACATTACTTCCCTGCTCCTGCAAGGCATCGCGGGGGGCACTTTCTTGTTCATCACCTTCTTTGAGATCCTTGCGAAGGAGCTGGAAGACAAGAACGACCGTCTCTTGAAGGTTCTCTTCCTGGTGCTGGGCTACACGGTTCTGGCTGGGCTGGTCTTCTTCAAGTGGTGAGCACGAGAGCGACGGGAAGCAAACCTCACCTCCTCCCCTTGCAAACGGCACCGGAGATGAGCCGCCGCTTCAGCCAGGGGGGACACTGGAGCTCAACAGCCAAGTGAAACATCACGGTCCAGGTGGCATTTCCATATTGACCTGAAGAAGGAGAATTTCTTCCTGTGTGCTCAGAGGGAGACAAAAATGAGGAGTGTCCCAGTGTAGGTGTCACAAGGTATTGTCCCTGCCTGTTGGGTCTGCGGGTGCAGCAGCTTGTGCGGAGACTAGTCAACACAAACATTAAAATCTGGTTCTAAGGCTGCCTGCAAAGAGCTCGTCAGGCGTGTGGCTTCCTGTTGATCTGCATAGCCGGCCCCCTCCCTCCTTCCCCTCACATCCACTGCAGAAACTGTGGCTGAGAGTCTGCTTCCTTCGCTCTCAGGCTCTGAGAAGGTGAGAAACAATAACAGAAAGAAAGTCAAAAGCAGGTGGGATCATGGATCGCACAGCTGCGCTAAGCTGCTTTTGCTAGCTTAGTTTTGAGCAAAACCTGGTTGTAATAGCTGCCAAAAATACCATCCCTTCTGGGGCCGCTCGGTGTGCCTGGTGCCGCAGCTCCCCCCGGGCAGAGCTTCCACTGTAACCCACAAGTGGCTCCGGGAGCTTTTGTTTCTCAGAGTGATTAACAGAAGAAACGAGGCCAGGCCGTGCCCCGTCCCGCGCTTCGTTCTCTCCACCTCATCCATACGTTGAGCATTCCCTAAAGAAAACCTCCAGCAGCGTGTCAGTGTATCGTTTGAGAATCCCCAGGTCCCTGTCTGAAGGCCTGCCCGCAGCACTCTGAGCCATTAGTTTGTCAGAAACGGGCAGCAGCGATTTCCAGCGTTAATATTTTGGGGCGAGTGCTCGTGTTTAAATGGTCTGCAGTGAAACGGGTTTAGCAGTCGCCATCGAACACGTCTTCGGGGCTGCTCCCGCAGCCTCTGCTCTCGCTGTCAGCAGGCTCACGTGGCCGTGCTGCGTGAGCGAGAGCTGCGCTACGGGGGCTTTGCAGGGCGTTTTGTCGGTGTTTTCAAAGGAGAGAAATCTCTTCCCTGGGGGTTTATGAGGTTGTGGAAGGGATGATTAGAGGCACTTGCAATCTGACTGCGCACGAGCAGATCTCTCCCTGTCTCCAGAGCGCGGTCCCCGGGGAAGCTCGGCGTGCTGCGGATCCCGTCGTCATCCTTTGGGTTTGCCCTCCGAGGCGAGGAGCTCGGATCAGAGGCTGGAGCCGGGAACCTGCCCCTCCCCGCTCCCTCCCGCGGCTGTAACGCGAGAGAGCGGCTCTCGCTCCGCAGCCCGGCAGGGCAACGCAGCCGCGCTCCTCGCCGGCCTCTCGCAGGGGATGCATTTTAATTAGACGTAGCCTTCGCTTCTGCAGCAGCTTCCGCAGGCAGAGCAAAGCTTTTTGGAAGCGCTGATGGAATTATAACGACGTAGAGCAGGGTTAGCCGTGGCGCAGTCCCCGTTACCGTGATCCAAGCGGGAAGAAGGATGGGTGAGACTGCGAAGCAGCATCTTGGAGCCAGTGGTTGGCACAGCTGCAGCATATGGAGGCTGATGAGGATCATCTGACGGTTCCTGGTGCTCGGTATTTTAATTGCTGCAGCACACCAAAGTCAATTAATCTTGCTTTGAAAAACCTGGAGTGGAAGGAGGGAGGGAGGGTTATTTTAGGCCTCGGATGACACAAATTAGCAGGGCCTGATGAGAATGTAATGCGCCTCGATGTGGTAAAACCTCTGTGTGTTATTTCACTTCTCGCAGGCAGCTCGTGCAGGGCAGCATCGCTCCCATCGGGTGTTCCTCCGTGCTGGGGGTCGTCCCGGGCAGGTGGGACGAG